GTTAGTGTGTGTGTGTGTGTGTGTGTGTGTGTGTATGGTTGGGTATTGTTGTTTTTTTGGGGGGGTCCTTTGGTATACTGTACTGTCACAGATTTAAAATAGGACAAATCTTACAACACAACATAGGGAAAGTTACAAATTCCGTGCACTTTTAGAGAGCCCCAATAAATAATCAGATGATAGAACAGCTGAATACGATGCAGGTGATATAGGTACAAATCGGGTTCTCACGGTTGGTCGGCTGGATAGTCTATTAAACAACTGAGTTACAGATATTTAGAAAGAGTGTTCAAACCCTTTTTTATTACATGTAATATTACACAGGTCTATGTTTATTAGTTGTGCCTTTGTATAAAATATATATTTCTTCTATGTACAACCCCTTTCACTTTAACTGATCAGATTTTTTAAAAACGGCACGGATGATTAAACTTTTTTTTTCAGATTTTAAAGAGTTAAAGTCCCGATATCGTCAGTATGAAGAGAGATGTAAGTTGTATACACACTTCTTGATCAGTCTAAAATGCTTGAAAAACAGCGTAAAACACAGCATCACACACTCATTTTCATATTTTCCTATCCTAATGTACACGGATAGAGCAGAGACCGCGCCTCTGGCACTCTTGGCAGATTGTTTGAAACTTGCCCACAGACTCATTGCCAAGGTGCGCCGACGTTTGGTAGTCATAAACCTTCTTGGTTAGTCTTAGGGCCACCGTTATCCCGGCCCGGTTTACATTCAGGACCAGCGCGTGCATAACTCACTCGGCCATATGGCGGGTCGGGAGGTGTCCGGCAGAAACCAGGCGCCAGTTCTCGCATTCTCGGAGCTGAGCGATTAGTAAATTAAAGCAAGTGTTTCGTGGCACACCACAGCCTCGTCCGCTCCGCTGACTGTTCCCGTCTCCAGCGGCAGTTTCCTCAAGGCTTTCTACTGTACACTCACTGCACGGACGGTTTAGCCGAGAGGACCGTTGTTACATAGTCGGGCAAACTTTTCATAGTTCTGCTTTCAAGAAAAGATCAAGCCTGTGTTCTACCGGAACCGTCGGTTCTTGTGTGAAAATTTAACGTGTGTGCTTTTGTCTTGGATTAAGGGAAGATTTAAAAAAAAAAAGTATAACAACTAAATCTTGCTGGTATCCATGGAAAGGGATTTGAAGGATCATTACCAGCTTGGACGTTTTTCTGGACAATCTCAAAGCGCCCAGATGCCCGGGGGCAGTGGGAGACATGATGAGTATAGACATAATAGTATGTCGTCGAGCAAGCAACAAAAACGGCTCAATGTTCTCAAGTGGGTGTCCCTCACTGTTACTGCTATCGGCGTGCTAACTGCAGCAGTCTTTACCATGATCTTCACCGTCAGAACATTCGCTGCTATTTCTGAAGTTGACCTGACATTGACGGAGTGCTTGGCGTCTCTGCAACGTTTGGAGAGGGTTCAGAGCTCATCTCAACGGTCAAAAGAAAAGGTTACAAGACCACCTGGGAGAAAACTGGACCAAGATCCCGATTTGACCGTCTCCACAACCTTCGACAATGGAGCCGCCAGAGAACGAGCACAATCGTTGACACATCAACTGAGGACCTTGTTGATGTCAGACTTTCTTACAAATATCACCCAGGAAATCGATTCTCGGTTCACTGTCATCGTGGACAATTTGTTGCGTTTAGAAAACGTCCTCAACAGCAAAGCTTCCACCATGATCAATGAGAGCACCATGCTGGACTGGGCGTCCTCGTGTCAAAGTTCATCAGCGGCGGTAAGGGATACTTTGACCTCTGTGAAGGGCGCAGTGGATCTCGGGAATTCTGATATGAGTAACAGGTTACAGAAAATTAGGGCGGATCTATCTCGCCTCATTATGATTTCGAACAATTCCTCTTCAAAGACTGCACGAGGTTTGTCGAAAGTTGCCGTAACTTTAGCAGACTTGGAGACCGTGGTTTCAGACTCTTTTTCTGTGACTCAAGAAAATATTGGTACATTGACATCATTTATGATTAAGTTGAACGCGTTGTTGGTGAGAGGTAGTAGTATTTCCGAGGAAGGCGTGATTTCAGACAAACTAGTGGAGCAGAAAAAGGACGTTGAGAAGTCTCTGTCTGCTTTGGTTAATTCTACCTCTGTGCTCGATCAGAAAACGGACAGTTTAGAGGATGGTGTTGAGTCACATGCGAAGTCTATTCACGAGATGTCTTGTAGAGTGGAGAGCTTAGGGGCCGTTTTAAACGACACGAGATCATCTATACAATCTATCAAAACTCCGATATTGGATGCTGTGAGCCAGATGTTGTCCTCAGTTTCTGATCAGCTTTTGTCTTATGAGAGCCATTTTGAAAATCTACAAAAAGATGTGTTTGACCTCAAAGAATCAGTTGTACTGAAGCAACACTTGAGTCTCTGCTCACAAGGTTCAGGCTGCGAAGTGATGGAACAAACAACTCCAAAGTTTCATTGCTTTAAAGTAGTCTCAGAGAAAGCCACTTGGTTCGAAGCAAGAAGGAAGTGTCTAGCCCTTGGTGGATACCTCGCTGAGATCACTGACCATGCCACTCTAGACTACATGAAACGAGTGGTGATTCCCTCCGCTGCCGGCACTGATATGTGGCTTGGAGCTTCGGACATCAACAGGGAAGGTTTGTGGACGTGGTCAACGTCCGGTGGTCACATGACTGTATCGGATTGGTACGTTGACCAACCAGACAGCCACGGACAAGAAGACTGTCTTCAGATCCGCGCCGCTGTGGGAGGGCGGTGGAACGACGCGACTTGTGACCTCAAACGGTCTTTTGTTTGCCAAAAGGAAGACAACTCGTGCGAGGGGTGGATGTGATGTGACAGTGACATGGACTGTGGTGAGCAGTTTGTCGGGAAAAGGATATGATGTAACTATTGTGGACAGCTGGTGTGAGAGTGGATGTAACATGGACTGCAGCGAACAACTCATGTGAAGGATAGGTGGGAAGTGGACTTTGGAAAATTCGCGTAAAGGGATGATTTGTTGTGGACTGTGAGAAACTCGTGTTTGGGGAGGATTTGATGTGGAATGTGAACCTAGACAAGAAGACGACTTGTATGAGTCGAGTGAGAGGCGGGTATACAGTGGTGGTCCAGTGGAGTGAAATAAGGAAAAGGGTGAGAGGGGATATTGAGTACATAATCCCTGGCTTCTGAGCTCTAGAAAGGGTACTTGGGGTCCAGGTTCATATTCGAGGGACCAATTGCATATTGTTCCTCTTAGGACTATCGGCCCGGGGCCACACTGAATGAGAGGGGTGACATCTGTTGCGCGTAAACTGAGATCGGGGTTGAGAAAAAATATGGTACGTGAAGTCCTTTTACGAACACCGTAAGTTCAGTTCAAGCATTATCAGTATGAGTCCAATATAAGAGGAGGGGGGCAATACAACCCGCCGGGGAAACAATGTTTTTATTTTCAGTGTCTTCCTGCATCACAGTTACTGCGACGGCTAGATCGGCCATGTATGTATTGAACACTAGTTTGCGAAGGACATCGATTAAGCAGTACAGATGTGTATTCTTTCTGACAGGTATAATTTCCACGTATTGTATTTTAGCGAGACCAGTTAACACATGCTGTAATGCTGTGCTGGTGTTTGAAATCGTTATATCATTATGCTATGATTTTATCACCGTGCATTCTGTTGTGAAATTAAATACACGTAGACCTTATCAGGTTTGGGAAACAAAATGTCGTATCTAAAAATACAAGTGGTTTTTTTAAAGAATCCGAAGAATATATGTCTAACTTACAAAACCTTTTCTCTCTTTCTATTGTTTAGCTGCAGGCGTGGCGTTTTGACAAAATGTTCGCCTAGTGGTAATGATATCATGGCCTTAATACAGTTTTTAAACATCGTATCAACAAACACAACAATTTGTTGTTTTTTTGTTTCCCACCCCTCGAACTAAACTGTCACTTCTTTGCAATTCCTTTCCTCTTTCTGTCATCCTGTGGGGATTAAAATATATTCTTGTCTTTCTCATCACAGAGACACAGAGTCAGAGAGAGAGGGGGGAGAGAGAGAGAGAGAGAGAGA